GTATGATTTTTGTATGAATTAGATTATTATCAAAACAATTTTAAAGATTTGTTAGAGGCCCGATCCACATAATAACATGTTGAGTTAACACGAAATCAAAAGTCATTATTGTAAATGTTGTTACGTTACGTGTTACGTAGTGCTACGGTATGACGTAGCGCTACACTAAAACATGGAAAATAACTGGATCAAAAAACGTGTTAATTTATAGGTGTATAATAAAGTTTCTAACGATAACAATATATGAAGCACCAATAGCCTAATTAAGGATACGGATTCGAATATTGTTCGCCATTTGAACATTGTCTTAACCCATATCCTAGTACAAGCCTAGAGCTTAGTTTTAATGGTACAAGAAATATTATAATAATAAATTAACAAAAATCTGAATATTTTATTAAAAAAAAATAAAGAGAATATGTATAAAAATGAGGAAAAAAATATTACTCTCAAGAGCAACCTTAGCAATGTACCGATAGCCTCAGTAAAACCGTAGCAAAGATCGAAAAAGCTTTTTTCCGAATTTATAAAATCGTTAAAATGATATCAGTAACAAAGACTTTTCGAAATCTTAGAAGGCGCTCTCTTTCTGTTCTATAAATACTTAATAAGGTAAATTAATGATGTGCCAACAATGTCAAAAAAGAACATCGTTACGCAAATAAAAAGACAATTGTTCGGGTTACGAGGTAGACGCTCCAACTCTTTGCACAAATTAATTATTAAAATGACATGTAATCTTGACTTGTCGGGGGCCTCGGGCAACCGCCGCCGTCTCAATGTTGATCTTTATTACGAGCGTTGTCTGATTAAATCTGGCCCACTCGCGACGCGCGTACCTCGAGGTGATACTTCTTATTACATTCATAATTAAACCATAACAAAGTCACGTAGAAATACTTAATTATATTTCACGAAGAAGATATGTTTTAACTTTGCAATGAACGGAGATGAAATAAAAGCACCCGCGTCTGTGACCTTCTTCACGTTCCTACATCCAAATTATCTACACGTATCTCAACACAAACTAGCAGTTACGAGTATTCTAAATATTACTCGCCTTTACACAGACAGACATACACACACACACACAGTTGAGACTTCCATTACTACGCCATCTACCTTCCTTAATTAAACAACATTTAACTTAACAACATTCTAAGAAAGTTGCTGTTTTTACCCAACACTAATATGTAGTATAGTATGTTAAACTATACAAAATAGTAGGCTCTGGTTCCCTCAGTGGAGACGTATAATGGAATGGACTGATGATAATCACTACATAAAAATTGTGTTAGTCGGTTTCTTAAAATTATTTTTATAGTATATTAGGTTTTAATGTAATTATTTAATATTATTAAAGAACTTTTTTCATAGAAATATAATATCATTATTTCCTTCGATTGATCCCGGTGTTATTTACTGTTCAAAAACTTGCCTTTGTATTTCAGCTTTTGGTATAATAAAACAGATCCACGGACAGTAGAAAGATAAAGTAAACACAAGCTACAAAAGCAGAACAAAAGTAACAAATAATGAAATGAAACTCATTGAGAATAATGAAAACAAATGTTCAAAACTAGACTGATTTTGATTTTCTTAAATGTTGTATTTTTTGATAACTTTGTGCAGAACTTGTAATATTACTTATTGTATGTATTTGTGCTTTAAAACAAATTACATTAACATCGCTCATACAATTTTTATCATTGACCTGTTCGTTAATATTTTAGTAACAATGCTTGCAGTAGTTCGAACGAATTTCCCAACAACATACGAATAAAAGTTGTACATTGAAACAAATGAAGCGTATTCGAAAACAAAGGTTTTTATTGTTCATGTAACCTCGATTTTCGGCAAGTGTTGTGATGCTTAAACAAAAGCCTTTTAATAATGCAATTTCCAATTGCCGCTGCGCAAATAGCAGGGGCTACGGTAGAATCGAGTGTGTGCGTGGGCTGCATTTACAGCAAAAGTTTATGCCGTGGTATTTTCATGTAAACCCAGCGTACAAAACCACTAATTTAAGTGGACGACATATGATATTAAAACAGTTTTTTTTTAGTAATAATGAGTAGTAAAGTAAAAAAATATCTTTATTGACTTCGTCCTACATACTGCGTTTTGATGTTATATTATAAAATACGATAAAAAGAAGTATACAGTATTATATAAATTAAGTACTACATTCTTTTTCATCTCTCACTTAACTAGAGTTATAAGGTGTTTCATTAATGTTATACAATGGTAACTCAAATATTCTTGTCCATAATTTGCCCAGTATCGAAGCTCTCGCCACCGTCTTTACAAAAAAGACGTTAATTATAACAAACCAATAAAAATTCCGATTAAGTAAATGTAAAAAGCGGAAAGTCTTTTAAAGCAAAGTCTGTGAAATTTTTTTAATCGCAAAACTTTATAGAGCTTCGCTAAGAATATCGTTTATTGATTACACGGGCTACAAGTTTCACAAATCGGAAAAACTCCGTTATCCGAGAGAAAGCCGTACAAGTGACCCTCATTAGCCCCATTGTTGTGCTTTTATCGCTCCCTCGGCCCGGGCGGTATAAATAAATCAAATTTAATTAACTCAGATTAATTTTCGCGGAGGCCCTTTTTATTTGCCCTTAGGTAAAACTCTTGTCGGTCGAGAGCGGCGCGGTTTGCGCGCTTGTAGGATTTCTTTAATAAAAACTTTACACTTAGTAAATTTCACATGTCGCCGCCGCGTTTTGTCGGAAGACCCGCTGCTGCCAGTAAATTAACAGGCGTTTATCGTTTTATTTGTACAACATTATACCGAGGATTTAAAAATTATTGCGTTTAGGGGACGATTTTATTGGGTAATTACATTTTAGACCAGCGTTACATTATAGAGTTTTATAAAAAAAGATCATTACATTTTAAATAATAGAAATGACATAATTACTTTAAATAAGCTTTATTTTCATGGGGATAAAATAAATACGGTAAGGATTTCTCCTCGGGTTTTTTATTTCGTTACATAAGGGCGCTTTAAGATGCATATTATGCAAGTGGTAAGTATTGTATTGTGGTTTTGCAACTATGTTATTTTTGGTAATAAAAAGAATGTAAGCAGTTTTAATATATCTTCGTTCAGAGACGACCGAGAGCGAAGAGTTGCTGTTTCCAAAGTTACATTAATTTGATAAATTCATGTTATGCTTCACATCCATCTACTACATTGACAAATAGGAAATGAACCTTAGATTTCATTGTTTATAGATTCTCTGAACTCGGTGAATGCAGTAAATATTCTTTACATTTAGATTTACAATTTTTCTCTATCTTTTTCTCCGTAACTACTACCAATAGATACTGAAATGACTATCGAAAAAACGATCTAAATTTGCGCAATGTAGGCCAGGTAAAGAAACCCGTGTGTAAACGCATGTAAGGCATCGTGCGCGCATCGCCTGGGTGGCTCGGTGCGCTGGAGTGCACAACACACACTCCACCACTAAACACCGGTAGCCCGCAAACAACCACCTACTCGACATCCCAAATTCTATCAATAGAGCGCTTCACAAATATCTTCAACTATTTAGAAGTTTCTAGAGCCGTAATTTGAAAGTTGATCCGAATGACCGGTGTGTTTGTCTTTTAATAATCACGATCTTTATTCTAGCACCTAACGGTTCTTAGCAACAAAAATATCTCAAAAAAGGTCAATAACTTAGGTTACCTATGTATATATTTGATAGACAGTTTTTGAAATGTGCATATACTATCTACATATGTTGTCAGAGTTGAGGGTCGTACTTAATAAAAGCTGCAATTGTGAAGGCTATTTTTAGAAGTAACATAAAATGATGTCAGAAGTAGACATACTACTGTGACATAAAATCACCTTTTGGATTCTGTATAAATCAAATGTTGTAAATTTAATTTTATCTACTTCCCGGTTACCAATTGAGATAAAATTTTGGATATATGTATGTGTAAAATGCGTGACAATGCAATATTATCATGAATTGATCAGATGATGGAGCTGGGAGGTGGCCATAGAATCATCGCAATAAATAGTTATAACCTCAACGAGTTTGAGCCCGTTTGAAATGGAGTTTAAGAGTAGTTTGTGTTTTTATAGTTCTTAAATAAGTTTAAAAAACTTAATTTTTAGTTCTTTTCATTAAAAGGAACATCATAAAAGCTTATTTTAAAAAGTTTTACTTTTAATTGTTTTAATGGTACGAAAATATCAAAAAATAATAAAACCCAACATAATCTCATTCGTTTAAAAAGGGATAAAAACGTAAAAATAGAAAGTCTTTATTTGCTTGTTACCTTAACCGCCTTACTGTAATAGTTTTTTTTGTGTTTCGGCCACCCACAGCCAGGTTCGGGGCGACGGCGACGTCGTGTCAGAGATGTTGACACACGGCCCTTCACCACTTCTAAACTTTCCGCCCGGTCAACCTAATCACATATACTATCTACTGCTATGTGGCCTTTCCCTGTACCCGACATTATAAATTCAGAATCCAATAAAACACTAAGTTGATAAGTTTAATCGAAGCTTGTTTTACTTTGTCTTGGAATTACTAAGTCGTGTGATTGATATTTAATATTTTAGTTAATTCTTGGCTATTAGAATAAATAATTAAATAAAGAACAAATAATAAATAATACATTTTAAGTGTTTGGTCGGAGGACGACTGTTAAACGCCCGTACGCTTTCTTCGCAATTTTAGACATTATGCAGAAATATTGCCTTGTACCATGCAACCGACTAAGTCCATCTTGCAAAAAAAAACTACTAGGTTGATGGTTTTGATTAAATAACAACACCTATCACCTGTATTACACTCCTACGTTTTATTCCAATATTTACAGATATTTAACGTTATAATTTGCACCTAATGTTGGAATACCACCAAGAAACACAAATGTACATAATAAATGCACATTGTAGACCATAACTTAGACCATATCGTTGTGTAATTAATACAACATTCGTTATACAACTAGGATCTTACCTCTACTCGTTCCTCTTTGAGGTCGACGCGCAGTGCGAGTTGTTCTCGCAGCACGACGTCGGGGTAGTGCGTCTTGTCGAAGGTGCTCTCGAGCTGTTCAAGCTGTTCTTCCGTGAAAATGGTGCGGTGACGCCGTTTACGCTTCGGCGGCGGGCCTGCCAACCCAGCAAGCGCGGCCGCCGCGTATCCGCCGTACAAGCCCGCGTAACCCGCGCCGCCGCCGCCCACACTGCTCACCCCTGTACATAAACGATAGTAATACTATTATTACAAGTTTATTATTGAAGTTAATTCACAATTTTCCTAATATAAAACCGAGAAAAATGTTTGCAATTTAAAAAGTGATTTGAATTTAACTAAAGTTGCAATGAACAAAATATCCTTTTTTTTTAGAAGAAGATTGAATGTTAATATCTATATAGTTTTAATTCTTATTTGACGAAGGTAAATTGCTTGATGTAAATTAAAGGATTTATAATATAACTAACTTTAACTCGGATACATCACCAGTACGGGATTAGAAAATTATTTAGTAGCCTATGCGTTCTCCCAGACTATTTTCTACATCTCTGCAAAATTTCACCGATATCGTTACGTACGTTATAACAAATATCATACATTCATTCGTCCATCCATCTAAACTTCCACATATATAAAATTAGTGACCAATGAAATTACTAATTAATTGTTTTAAACATTTGTGGAGTTATCGGATGCCTTCCGAAAAGTTTATTTTTAATGTCAGCATTACTTAAGAAAACCTATAAGGTATAACACATTTTTAGTTCATCTTAGTATTTCCAAGTGCTAACTTTAATTACTTGAAAACCATTTGTCGCCGCTGTTTATTGGACATCTACAATATTTTCGGTAATACTAATGTTAACAAAATAACGCCTTTATGTTTTGAATACATTCAATTAAAGTTTTGTAAAAAATGTGATAATTACATTACATAATCTCATAACGTTTTACACCTACATTGCTATTTATGCTTCATGTTAATTTTGGTACGTTATTAAAACAAAAAATGTTGAAAACTATGGTCCGTCTTTAAATTATACCTCTTCATTATGTAATTCAGTTCTAAAGTTAGAATATCGCGTTTTAGATTAAAAATTAAAACATCCTTTGTACAGAATTTTAATGAACCTCAAACGCTTTCGTTAAATAGGTTAATTATGAGAAAATTTAATTAATAATCAGATATTTCTGACTGGATACTTACATGACATAAGATGCAACGGCGCTAAGCTTGTCTGCCGGTCGACTGTACCAAGAATGATAAAAATATTTATTGCAAAATTACCAACATAAATTCTAAGTAATTTCGAAAAAAGTGATTATAGTTTTTAAAGGAAGGAAAACCATTTTGTCTTTAAAAATTGTTATGAAAATTTCTAAGATTTAAGATATGAATTTGATAAGATTTGTAAGACTTAAAAATGCATAAATGTAAGGTGCGATGTGAACACGTCATCATGTATTAGAATTAACATTCGAGCAGAGAAGCGGAGCGCGAATATCCGAGCTTAGAGCCCCGAGCGACCCTCGCTTCGATCCGATGGAAATATTAATGCTACAAATAAAAATTGAATATTTTTGCATACTTCCATCGGCGGGATATTACATTGTATTATTTCCGAAAGAAATATAAAAGCTTTTAACGCCGGCGGCGTATTGGTAAGGCGCTACCGTAGCTTTCCGCACATCGTACGACCGCGCTCACCCCGGCTCTCGACCGCCTAAGCCGTATCGATTTGAATACTATGTTTTTATTTAAGCGAATTTTCACCTAAACTCACTTACAAAAGCAGCAAATGGTTTTAACATTATCATATGAAAATCTGGCTCCATTTTTATGTGATGATAATTTACTTTTTACTGAAAACCAAGGCACTGGCGATTTTTCTCTTATACGGTATCTTCATTTTTTATTATAGATATTATTTGCTAGACCTACGATACTTTTAGTAAATAGCATTGCCAAAGTTACGTTACGTTTCATACTGTTACACTACAATGTAAAATATAATTTTTTGATAATAACATCTAAGACCAAAAATACTTTTGCTCAACATACCTAAGGATCCCAAGTGGGACAACTTTGGGAATCACTGACCTAAGTCTTTCAAACATGTATAATAATATTACCCAAGTTAATAATAATACACTAAAAGAATACTGTCCTTTAAGTAAAATATACAAAACGTGTTTTTTATAACAAAAAGGATCCCTTGAGATTTTATCAACCTTTAAACTGTCCTCGGTAAAAAGAAAAACACACTTAATTGAGATAAATCCTGTCTTCACCCCTGCAAGGCGAAGCGAGGAGAGGCGCGGCGCGAGGGATGCCCCGGGGCGCGCTCTAAAGTAAAGTAAGTCAGTAGCCGCATTATTAAACATTTATAATATTGACAGTTGAACCCATAAGGATATTGTTTGATTATATTGGTATGCCGTGTTGATCACAGAGAGTATTACCCTAGTTTGGACACCATTCCTCTGCCTATAGGGACATTTATAAGAACAATTTTGTACAAGTAACTTTATTTGATGTAAGACAACTAGAGCCATCGCTTCCCCTAAATGAAGTAATAAATGTGGCTTTGAGCGTTTAGCAAACAAAATCTTCAAGTATGTATTTAAAATTTAATAAACACTAATAATAAATTATCTTTAAGAAAAGTGGAATAAGTTCAGTTATCCAATAAGCTTGAAACTTTTAATACAACGGAAGTCGGATGGTTTATCCGGATATTTACTAGAAATATATATCATATAATAGTGTTTGACTGTCAATCAAGAAGGAATTAGGGAGTTTTTTCTCGGTTGATAGATTCTTTCATGAAAAACTGCATTTTGAAGCATTTTCCATCAGACTTTCGTCAATAAGATGTGAGTGACACGCAGACTTGTTATGTAGGCGAGCAGTAAAAAACAAAAATTGTTGAAAATAATCTCCATAAAGTAAGCGACGACAGTTTGCCTCATAATTTTTTTTTATAGCATGGTTAAAATTTTTTTCAGGAAGAAGAATTATTTGGAAATAGATCATTAATGATAGGTAATTAATTGAATATCTAATATACGGTCATTTCGGGTTCTTTGGATTTTTTTTTATTAAATCGTATTTAATTTAAAAACAATGGAAAGTTTAATAACAAAAGCTGCGACAGACGTTTGCCGTCGCGTCGCCTTGTTCGTACATAATCGGATGTAATGCGATAAGATCGAAGCCACTTTGCAGCGGGCACTAGGGCACGCGGCTGGCAAATTAATATAACACACTGTGAGCCATCAAATTAATTAGTTCTCCATTTTTTTTGTATATTGGGATAGTGAGTAACTGGCTGAGTAGTTATTTCAATTTACGTAAGCTGCAAAAAGTAATACATTCTCACGAGACATCGTGTCTGATTATGAGAAGCGTTTGTTTAAATTTAACTTTTGAATACGTCCTTTTATCTTCATCCAGGTCTTTAAGATTGGTCATTGTCTGCGAAAACTAGTCAAAGCAGTTCTGTGGCAAACTTATTCTCGCCCCTAGGTTTTAATGTGTCATTATTTGTTTCTCCGCTTGGATTCTTTTACTTCGGATTTTGAATCTGACGAAGATCGGTGTTGAATTCCTATCGAAAAGTGTTTTTTAAATTATGTATATTTGTGATTGATCACATACTGAATAAAATTTAAATTTATGTTAAATACTGGCTGTCGCGCTTTAGAAGATTCCGACGGGACAAAAAAAACTTAATTAGTAGTCTGTGGATTCTTCCAGACTATTTTCTTCATCTACGCCAAAATTCATCCAGATTTGTTGAACCGTTCTGAAACTAACTTCTAACAAACATCCATCCAAACATTCTTTTAAATTTATAATATTTAGTAACATTGGCAATTAAATTAAAACCTCTATTCATCTATATGACTATGTTGTCATCTTAGTTAAAATATTTTGATTTACATTTGAATATTATACATTTATTCCTACTTACCAGTACCTGTTAAAACATGTATGGTCCGGCAAATTAAAATTGAAAGGTAGGTAGGGATACTAATTCCCATAGAGCTGAAAATTAGCACGAATGATCAGAACACCATTATTATGTAGATCATTTGGAATAAAAGTTGAAGTTCAAAAGACCCCAAAATGGGTTTGCACATTATTCTGCTAAATGGTAAGCATTTCCAAAATATGACTGTAAGTTATAAAATTAATATGTATATAAAAGTACGTAGATGATTCTACGTACTTTTTTCTAAGGACTGCCGTTTTTGAAATATTATGGTTCAAACAGTTGCAAAACTTGTATTCTTCGCTAGCCAACCATCGCTACTTCGTCCACGTGAAAATCGTTACTTTGTATTGCAACCCGTTTTGTAAATTATAAAATAATTTAGCTGAAGGGATAACATGTTTCCATAAAAACGATAAGCCCACCTAACTTCAGACCTTAACGGGTAAGTTAAATAAAATCGTCCAATAAATTTTCAGCTAAATGTGAATTATTGTGCTATATTATTATTTAATTTAAATCATCATCATATTATCTATTTATTTGGCAATAAGGAGAATTTCGCTTATTTAGACGGTGCTTTGTGATATGCAATATTCATGGAAAATATTCATTTAGTATACCAAAACAATATTCCAATATGAATTACAAAAAACATTCCTACACTACCGAATGCATACTATCGTATATTTACCTGTTAATAATGTAGTTATACAGTGTTAGATACTACCCCAATAACAATGACAAGTTGTACATATTATTATGTACGTTTTTATTTACAGTAAACATCCAAATAACACCTACAAAATATGCTATGTTTATTTTTTTTCCAAGTCTTAAAACCAAGGTTGATTTTCTTGTACTCACCGAAAAGATCATGTGCTCTGTGGAAAGGCGTGTGAGCGAGGTGGTGGAGTTGCAGCGGCGGCACGGAAGAGGACATGGCGGAGGGCACGGTGGGCGGCGGTCGCGGCGCTAAGATGCTGTCTATGGTGAAAAGCGGAGCCGCCGGCCGCTCCGGCAGCGCGCCGCCCAGCAGCAGCGCTGTGCTCAGCAGCGCCGGCGCCTCGCGCGGCCACGCGCCCTGCGCGCCCATGCCCTCGCGCGCCACGCTGACCAACCGCCCTACTACCGCACACCGTCACGTACCACAACACGTCGAGGTCCCGTTGCACAAACCGTCACGTAGGACGTGTCACGCTTGTCACGTTAATACAACTATACATCACGATCGCACTGTGTCACTAGTGTTAAGTCCCAGCGTGTCCTGCGCGGTGCCGACGCCGGCTACTTGCGTGGCATGGGGATGTACGCGTGATGCGATTGCCGGTAAGCCGTGTTAGTGATGTGCGCGGTGCCACTGGCCAGAGGGGTGGGGTCGCGGGGTAGGGCGGGAGAGGGGCGTGCCGCGACATGCCCCGCCCCACTCCCGGCTTAATGGAACTGACAATACGACGCTCCCGAACACTCATAAATGATAATAGTATCTCATCCCTACATCTCCGTGTAAGCACTTTATATTGTTTGTTGTAGATATCGTTATATCTTTTAACGCGATAAACGAGACGGTCTAATAAATAGGGTCAAATTGTATATAGGCGATAATATGTATGAAACTTCTTCTTAAACATTATATTGAATTTAGCTACAAATAAATTTACAAGCGCTTATTATTAGATATTAGTAATGAACAATTTCATTTTTTTTGTTTCCTCACGCGTGCTGCTCCACAATCTCGCACATCGGCCTTTCCCCCTCCAAACAACAACGGTCCATATGTAAGTATATGTTACATAGACGTAGCAAGAGGATTATGCGACATTAATTCCGCTGCGAATAACAATTTCATGCAAAAACTTCAATAGAACGATCTTTGCCACGGTCAATTATTAACTGACTACAAATAAGTATGTACGGATTATAGAAATGCAAAAAAAAAACAATAAATTTTTATACGAATGACATAAAAAATATACTTAGAATTTTTTTTCTAGGGATACAATGATTATTCGGACGTATGTATGTTTAATTTTTAATTAATTCTTCGATTATATCTACGAATAAATCAAAAGAGTAGAAATGTACCATTGTTGCAATAAATGGAAATGTTTAGGCCGCTAACATATTACAGTTCCTTTAGTGTTCCGGATGTCCATAGGCGTCAATGATCAGCTCGGTTTTCCCGCAGCTCATTTGCCTTTTTAATTCTCATATTAAAAAAAATGTTTTATAATTACATATATGTCTAAAATCAAAGGTTCGCCTTTACGTCGTTACATTAACTGCGAAATTTGACATAAATCTTTTCATTCCAAAAAGGTTTGTTAAATGTAAATGTATGATTCTGCTACGCTTATTGCTTAGGGTGGAACCCACCTCCCGCGACAGATTATCGCCTCCCACCAGTCATCTTTTTACATCTACTCACCTTTTGTATGTACATATCACGATTTGCGAAATCTCAGCGAGCAATCTCTTAGACACAATCACGGATACAGGATTAAGTCGACTGCTAACGGCTAACAAATTGAGCTTCATGTTTTGTGGAACTCGTCGCCCGCGGCTTTCTGCTGCAGTGTGTGCTCTTTTTGCAGCTTACATGCTACAACAATGCTTAATACTGATACACATGAACTGTGGATAAACGACAAATGACATGTTTTTTAAGCGCGCCAAAAAGGCGGTTATATTTTTTTTTGTAGGCACACGAAATTTATATGTTCGGCCAGTTACAAAAGTGTTTTTTTTTTATTCTTATCTGAATAAATATTTTAAATGAATGATGGATTTTATTGTCCGAAAATCAAGAATTTTGAATGAAATGATAATTCATCTCAATAATTTGAGAACAGTAGAGCGTCAGTGGAGCAGTGATTAAGGACTTTTAATCAGCATATGTCTCTCGATTTTTTTAATATCATCACATTTATCAACGAAGATCTTAAGGTGAGGGGAAAAACTTGACACAACCTGCACAGTTCTGGGAAGAAATTCAAAGATGTGAGTACAGACAACGAATCCACATAAGTGGTATTTCCTCTGGGAAAATACGAACTTCAGTATTTAAATCCATCGAGAATTAAATTAGTTTGACATTAATAATAACAAAATGTGCTATTTTTATACATATTTTTACGAGACCTTATGTTTTTATTTAAACAAAACGAGTAATTGAAGTAATGTTATTTGTGGACAAATTATAAAATGTATGCAAATAAAAAGCCCAAAATTCACGGTAATCCAAATACGATGTCGAGTGAAGTGTCCAGGCTTGGATTGGCGCGGCAGTGGGAGGCGGGGCGGTCGGAGCGGTCGGTGAGGCGCATCGCATCATGTGCAAATATTGACGAAGGTGGGAGCCGTAACCCGAGCGCGAACTGTTTGTCTGTAATTGATGTAATTAGTCGTGTCGACCAGCTGCCGGCGATAAAGCCACGCATCCAATGTTTGAACGGTTAATACGATACTTTTACGGACCGGAAACATCTTTACGGTGTCCTGTTCTGGCAAATATTGATGGCACTCGACGAGGCGACGCATCCAGCCGAGATTACTCAGTACTTGTTTGCTTAGACGACTACCGGAACACTTCAGGTCACCTATTGAGATTAAAATGCGTAACAGGATCAAAAAAATTGAGGAATTTTTAATTTACCAATCGTGTGTTCTTAAATAAAAATGTTTACAGACATATAGAAATGGAATCCCATGAAACTCAGTAACACAGTCTGGTAATACTTAGTCATCATTTTCATTATTCGATCTTAACTTCTCTCTGACATCTTCAATTCTTAATATCCAATAATAAGTGAGCGTCGGTGGCGCAGTTGTTAAACGCTTAACCGGACCAGCCATAATCTTTACGCCTAGGTTGGAACCCTGCCATGAACCAACGTGTTTTTCGATTTTTGAATTGTATATGTACATTTATTCGACGTTCTTTCGGCGAAGGAAAATATTGTGGTGAAACCTGCTCATAACAGCGAAATTCGAAATTCTAAGGTATATGTAAGGTCAACCAACTGTAGCACTGGACTAGCGTGGTTGACCAAGACCTAATGACGCCTAACTAAGGGCCTAACTGCAAGCCCCTCAGAGGGGTTAAATAGTGAGCAATATAATGAACATATACATATACTGTGGACCAATTTCATTTGAAACTTTTACCTGCATTAGACTAAACTCTATAAATCAATTCCTATAAAAGCAGCTGCTTATCGTTTGTACATACTTCTCCATACGTATACATAGATGTTGATGTATGTGTGTGCATGTGTGCTATAATGGAAAATTAACCCGGTATAATGCGTGGATTATCCGCGTATGACTTAATACAGGACGGTCACACAAAGGCGTAAGCATTAAAATAGCTAACAATAGCCGGGATTATCCGGCCCTAACCTCCCGAGCGCCAACAATATGGCCAACCACGTCGCTTGCACCAGCCCTGTTCAAATGTACTGCAGAATCGGAATCGTTCATTACAACGATATCAACTAGTCCCCATTTCTCATACATGTCAATGTTAATCAAAGATATGTGGATTTAATTTAAAAATCAGCTTTATAGAAACTGATATGAAAATGTAACATTCTTGGTCGTTTATATATTATATTTTTATTGTGCCCCATCTACTATTTACTTAGTAAATACTATAGAACTAATAAAAACTTATATAGCAAATTGCACTCAGGTGCATCATGGCGATATAGATCAATTGAAATTGCGATTTTGAAAGTCCCAAGTCGCCAATATGCCTGTCGATATAAAATATGAATTTGCAAATATACTTATTTCGCCTGAAAAGATTCTTTAGATTGTACGTTGTATATGTCTACAATTGTAAAGAGGACGTAATACTAGAACTATGTGGGTAAGTAAGTAAGTAATTCAATCCAAGAAAATATAGAATTACAGAGGTAATAGCATTATCGCAGCACGGCCTAACAAGATTGTGCGATGTTGTGGCTGAGGCTTCTTAGCGAATATTACGCGCAAGTGTGACGCCCTCAATGCGGTAAGTGCATAAGTTGAAAACCGATTAGTATCAGCTGCTCTAGATATTTATTCATTACGACTTCACAACAAGTATGAAGTATGACATATGCAAAGTGTTAGTACGATAATTAAAATCTAGTAACACTATCTAATTAAGTATTAATTTACTAGAGAAAAAAATCCGTACCATCTGTTCAGTAAAATAAGCCACCAACACTCTTTCACCAATATAATAAATAAACCTAATTATCTTTGCAATTCAGGATTAAGTCAGATATAATTTCATATTGTGTAAATATTTGAGTATTCACAAGGCCGATGCTCATATAGCCTTGAAATCTGTTGTGTCGAAAGTGGAGCTGATGGAAAAGCGGCCGACAGACCGTGTCGATCGTGAACTTATTCCGAACAATACCTTTTGTACAGAGAGCGAGCGAAAATAAGCGAACCCGACAAACAACTTCGTTAACATTACGTAAACCATAGAACTGAAAATAAACGTGTCGCACGTAATTAAACGAACGGGCTAGACGGTCTTAAACTTTATTTGTTTTATTTCCTTTTGTAATAACACAAATTGTAAGATTGAAACGATAAAATTTTTTGACACTGTCTGCAACACACAAATATAAAAAAAACATTATTAATTGACTATAAAACTATTTAATTTAAATCGTCCATTTATATCGCTATCTATATATAACCAATATTCTATTGTACTTTTCTTGTTTTTGTTAACAATATCGTATCAAGCTAACATTTCCAAAGAATGTGTTAATCTCTCGCAACCAAAGGACCGTAATGAAGCCGGAGCGTGTATAATCAAAGTGAATACCCAAACATAGACGCTGCAGTGCGATCGCTGCGTACATAAACCGACAAGGGCTCGCCTTCACTGTGCCTACTCGCTCGGAAGAATTGTTTAACGCTATCCAAATAGCGGTGCTTCGTATGCTAAAGGATCCACTAAGCAGATAATTTCCGATTGACTCAAATTTATAAGCCGTCAGTCAAAACTGTGTTTACACACTGACTATGTTGATAAAGCGAACAAACTTTATTTTCGCGTGTATACGAAGCTCTTCTTTTGTTATAATCATAACAAATACGTTATTTCTAAGAATAAATATGAGCATGCCTTACAAAATTTCATAAATAAATTCCATTTAACTAGATAGGTACATATTCGCTGTGCATGAAGTCTAGTCTAGTTCTATTTCTAAAAATTCGTACAGAAATTATTATGTCAGAATCCAGCAGTATTATGGATCCAGTGATGTTAAATAGACTATATAGTTCTAGCTGAGATTTTCACAATATGGTGTTAAAAATCCACCTCAAAGTGTATCTTCATATATTATGCCTGGTTTCTACCATAAAGTACAACAATTACTCTATTTTAAATACTTCGGATTATCCTTCATGGATATTAAAAGACATTTTCATTTTAGTCCAAATTTCTGCACAAAA